TTTTGTAGTACTTTTTTCGTGACTTTTTTTCATTCCTCTTGTGATATGATGTTAAGGTAAATTGTGTGTGTGTGTGTGTGTGTGTGTGTGTGTGTGACTTTTTTCATTCCTCTTGTGATATGATGTTAAAGTAAATTGTGTGCGTGTATGTGTGTGTGTGTGTGTGTGTGTGTGTGTGTGTGAGTGTGTGTGTGTGTGTGTGTGTGTGTGTGTGTGTGTGTGTGTGTGTGTGTGTGTGTGTTTGAATATGTGTAAAAGTTGGGTATGAGTATTGTATTTCATTTTGTTTTAACACATAAAAAAAAACTCGGAACGAATATCTAAACAATTGATCTATTGCACAAAAAAAATTACATGTTTTTGTATTCTGCATAAAACAATACAATCCTATCCTGTGTGTGTATACCATGAATTTAAATTAAATCATCTCACAGTATTCAAAATATGATATCCAGGCAAATGTGAGTTAAATTACCCTTGCTATGTAGTATTGTTAAAGACCAGAAATATATATACATATATGTGCTGATGTCATCTGTGATGCTGATGACAAAAAGGATGAGGATGATGCTGATAATAATGATAGTAAATATTTAGAAAATGAGAAGAATAAGAAAAGTACAAATATTGTGATAATTACAAAACAGTAATGATGATAATGATCAATTAATAATAATCAATGATATCAATAATAGTAATAATGATAATAATGATAATGATTTAATGATAATAATAACAGTGATAATAATAATAATAATAATAATAATAATAATGAGTTAATGATAATGATAACAGTGATAATAATAATAATAATAATAATAATAATAATGAGTTAATGATAATGATAACAGTGATAATATTAATAATAATAATAATGAGTTAATGGTAATGATAATAGTGACAATAATGATAACAATAATAATAATAATAATGAGTTAATGATAATGATAACAGTGATAATAATAATAATAATAATAATAATAATGAGTTAATGATAATGATAACAGTGATAATAATAATAATAATAATAATAATAATAATGAGTTAATGATAATGATAACAGTGATAATAATAATAATAATAATAATAATAATAATAATGAGTTAATGATAATGATAACAGTGATAATATTAATAATAATAATAATGAGTTAATGGTAATGATAATAGTGACAATAATGATAACAATAATAATGATACTAATACTAGCAATGTCAAAATAACGACAACGACAACAACAATAACCGTATTGATAAGGATAATTATAATAGTAATAATAATAATAATAATAATAATAACAATAATAATAATAATAATAATAATAATAATAATAATAATAATAATAATAATAATAATAATAATGGTAATAATGAAAATTATAATAATAATAATAATAATAATAATAATAATAATAATAATAATGATAATAATAATAATAATAATAATAATGATGATGATAATAATAATAATAATAATGATGATGATGATGATGATAATAATGAAAATAATGAAAATAACGATAATAATAATAATAATAATAATAATAATAATAATAGTAATAATAATAATAATAATAACAATAATAATGATAATAATAATAATAATAATGATATTAATAATAATGATAATAATAATAAAAGTAATAATATTGTTATAACAATGAAGATCATGATAGTGATAACTAAGATAACAATGATAATTAACAGATTAACATTAATAATGATGATAATAATATTAATAATAATAATGATAATGATAATAGTAATAATAATGATAATGATAATAAAAAGAATAGTAATAAAATAACAATGATAATAGTAATAATGATAATAATAATAATAATAATAATAATAATAATAATAATAATAATAATGATAATAAAAATAATAATAATAATAATAATAATAATAACAATAATAATAACAATAGTAATAATATTAATAATGATAATGACAATGATAATAATAATAATGATAATAATAACAATAATAATAACGATAATAATAGCAATATTGTAATGATAATAATGAGTAATGGTAAAAAACAATAAAAATAATAATGTTAATAATAATAATAATGATAATGATAATAATGATAATAATAATACTGATAATGATAATGTCAACAATAATAAAGTTTTGATAATGATAAATAAAATGACGAAGATAACAGCAACACCCTAATATTGGCAATTATAATAATAATAACAATAATGATAATAATAATAATAATGATAATAATGATAAAGGTAATAAAAACAATAATAGTAATAATAATGAAAATAATAATAGTTTGATAATAATAAAAAACAATAATAGTTTGATAATAATAAAAAACAATAAGAGTTTGATAATAATGAAAAATAATAATAATTTGATAATAAAAATAACAATAACATCAACAAAAATAAATATTATATTAAGGATAATTAAGATAAAGATGATAATAACAACAGCTTACTTACTGCCTTGACCCACTCCTTCTCCGACATAGAGATGACG